TTTAATACCCATAGACTGTGTCTCAGTATTGATATTTTATTTTATAAAGCAACTACAGAATTCTCTTGGGATTAGGGGAGAAGAACGATTCCCTGGAAACTTACAGAGGTGGTAACCAGGAAGTTTAAGTAGCTGTTTTAGAGTATCCCGGAGTACCAAGTGGAATGTATGGGCATATTTTGTCAATACCCACTGATAGAAATTCTTCAAAAAGTCAAATAGAGGCCCTCCCTGGTGGTGCAGCAGGTTAAAGCACAGCACTGAGAAGCTGAAGCTGCTTCTGCATGAGTTCGATTCCCGCCTGCCCCAGAGGTGACCACATGGTGCGGCAGACCTCTCCTGACCCGCCCGCTGCTCCCCTCAGCAGTGTGCTTCGTAGATCTGTCTGTTTTGCTCTGGCGAAGCCTCTCACTGCCCCTGAGTCTCTGGCCTGTACCCCAGCTCTGTATGTACAAATAAATAAATCTTTAAAAAAAAATAAAGTCAAATAGAAAAGAAAATACATATAATCTACCTATCCACAAATAAATTTATCAAGTACCATTTTTTATTTGGTATTTTAATATTTATTGCATTTGATCTTTAAATGACTCCTCCTAAGTAGATTTACTATTATTCACAATATCCTTCATTGTTAACTTCTATTCCTCCCCATCTGAGATAAACAAATGCCCCCATCAAAAATAAAAAAATACTGTTCCACACTCACTCTCCAAACTGCTTTTCCCACAAACTACTGCTACTCTGATGCTTCTATAGGTTCAGCCAACTTTTTGTGATATGTAAGGCTATTACCAACTCATTAGTGTATGAGTTCATTTTTGCTATAACAAACCACACCAAATTTCAATGAATGAAAACCACAGTCATTTATTTGTGCACACTTCTATGAGTCAACAATCTATTTGGTTGGACTGGGCTATACCAAGACTCATTCATGAATCTGTACTTACTTGGCAAGGCACTTGAGACCAGTTGTTTTAGAGTGCCTTATTTGCATTACTCACATATCTGGCAGTTGGTTGTAGCTATTTGGTTAATTCTGACTGTCAGCTGGTATAAAGTATAAAGGTTTGTCTGTTTCCAGCAAGCTTGCCTTGTGGTCTTGGCTACATTGTAGTGGTCTTAAGGTTTCCACCATCAGCAAGAGAGAAGAGATGCCGCAATGCATAAATGCTTGTCAAGACCCTACTTTGCACCCTCAAGTTCACAGTCAACATAGGAAGGAACTCACCAAAGGCATAGAGAGAGGACACAGGAACCAAGAGGGAACAATATTGCAAAAATCTATCACAATTACCATATATGATACCCAGTTTCTTGAGTCACTCTTTTCTATATACTTTCCAGCCCTTAGCTGAAACCTATGTCTTATCATGTGATCTTCCTAATTTCCCTCCCCTGCAAGCCACTCATTCTTTATACTTTTCTTCCTACCCCCTCAATGATTTGTTATCATAAGTTATAATAAAATACCCATTTCTTAGCTTGAAGTAAACCTCTTAGGATCTGACCTCAACACATGATCATCAAGTCTCATAGTACTCCAAAAATGTACCCCTTATCTTCAGATTAGGTGCTTCTCCAACCAGATGTGCACCTCTGTACATTGAATCTGCATTCCACCTGTGATTGTACCCATCTTTCAAGACTGGCTCAAAAGTGATATTATCCGTGGAGCTGTGCTCTGCCTTGCTTGGACAACGTTGCCCTTGCCTGAGTTGGTTACTCTCACCTCAGTGCCCCTGGAGCACTTCGTGCATGCCACCATTACAGTTCTTATCATGCTGGAGTCCAAGACAGGTCTGCTTCTTCCTAAGAGTATTAAAGGGACAGCAAGCATGTCTTATTTATTTTTAATTCCTAGTTTAGGACAAATAATTTCTGGGTGATTGAATGAGAGGATGGAGGGCATGCTGTCACTTTCCATTCATTTTTATAACAACTATTTAGTAGGTAGCTACAAAATACTATTGATGGTTTGACATATATATTTAATATTTAATTTGATTTGTAAGTAATATTTTTGTTGCTTACTATGTGTAATTATTAGCATACTATATGAGAAACAGTTTTCAGATAACAGGTAAAGCAGCCCATTATTTACTCTTGTACATGGATTAACCTAATCTATTGTTTTCACTGTTGTGAACATACAATTAATTTTATGTTAATCTCAAAAAAATCGTTAGACTATCTTATTGGAAATGGAGAGAAAGGTAAGTGGATATTTATATGTGAAAGATAAAGTTTACTGGAGACGTTTGGCATTAAGGTCGAACAAACTAATTTTCAATAAACAGAGTGATTTTATTTTAATTAAGGAAGTGAATACTAAAATATATGCACTCTTTGTGACAGTAACTTTATAAAAAACATGTTTTTCAAGCTTTTAACATTTTTATGTGCATATATATTCCCCAGAACTATAATATTTAAATACCTTCTATTTACTAACAACTTTGAGTTAACTTAGCCAAAGATAAAACTTTACTGTTTAACTTTTATTTAGTTTACTTAACAATATATCAAGTAAATATAACACAAATTAACATAGATGGTGACTCATTAGTGTTTCTGTTTTGAATAGTTACAAGGCAAAAAGGGTATATCATCATACCCCTAAGAAAATTTAAATGAATATCTAAAACCTGGAATTAGTTTCAACAGCATTCTCTCAATGAGAGATTAAGATTCTGTTCAACCATAGGACAGGGTTTATCTTTGGAACAACAGTGATCAAAGAGGTAGTTATTATTCATGAAATTGTCTAATTGTGTATCCAATTACTATAGTCATTACTTAAAATGAATATAAAAAATGTTAATCACTGATTTTGAAAGTTCCTTCTTGTTATTTACTTGTTTCCCTGCCTGGATTCTTATGACTTGTTTATTACTACTTTGTAAAACTTTGGGTATATATGCTCAAATTAATTATAATAACCACAAAGGACAATTTAGCATAATGACAATTTCTGCCACTCCTACTCTTTTTGAGTGCTGTTTTATTCATTTGAGAAGTATTGATGTTAATTCTTCAAATATTAATGCTTCAAATATTCACCTGTTGGAGCCTTTTATCCTGGGCTTTTTTATATTGGAAGTCTTTGATTATTTAATTTCTCTACTTGTTACAGGTCCATTTGATTTTGCTTCTCATTAGCCACAATGAACTTACATATTTTGTTAAGAAAATAGTTTATCTAAAATCAAGGCAAAAAAGAAACTTAAATGATCTTGGCTTCTACTCTCATTGATTATTTAAGCTGGATAACTGCCAGATATTTACTTAGTGTTTGTATGACTTACACACACACACACACACACATGCACACACAACCTGGAGAGTAAGTGTTTAGTATTTTTAAAAATTCAGAAAGAAACCTGAGTAATTTTCCTGAATGCTTTTCTTCTGAATGTGCGATTAAATAGGTTGAGTTTTGTGTGTGTATACGTGAGTGTATTTGTAGTTAATCACTAGGGCTCCTTTTACAGAATGGGTCTGAGGATGTCTCTGCAAAGGCGAACATTAAATTTTAGAATTAAAGAGCACAATCCTAAAGACTGAGAAAGCTCTGGAGCTTTTGAAACTGGATAGAGAAGATTGACAGGCAAAGTTGTGGGATGTGATGCAATATTTTTGGTTGATTGGATAGATGGGTGACCCTAATTGGACTCAGCTTCTGGAGTTATCAGGTAAAGGGGAACTTTCAGAGGTGATGACTTTTCCATGAATGGTGCTAAAAAGTAGATAATGTTCAAACACACCATTAATCCTGGCTGTTTAGGCAAGTTAATGCTCTTAGACTGTATTATAGTTCCCCATAATTCACCCTCCAGTCACCCTCCTACCACCTAGGGTGCCATTTTGTTGTTCTATGGTTTCCATGCAATGTAGTCTAATTTTAAATTCAAGTCAAGTGGTAATTTCTCTTAATGTTCCAAATCAGGACAACAATATCCAAGTCTCTCCCTCCCCTCCCTTTCTCCTCTCCTTCCTTCCTTCCTTTTCTGGAAAGCGTTAGACATAGCAGTAATCCCATGGTTTATTTATCAAAAGCACATGGAACCAAGGAGAAATTTTGTGGTTAGTCTGCAGCCAGGCAAGGCTGACTCCAAGTCTCTGCTAACTTCTTTTGAAAAGAGTACAGGCTATGATTTTCAACTCAGAGAACTCTCTCGCTATGTTGTATATTGTAATTTAATTTTCTTCATTTCAATAAATGTACATCGCTCTACCCCTAGGTATAAGAAAAAGGAATCGTCAGGCCTGCGGCACGCGTTTAAATCATTAAATCTTCGCAAACACCAAACACTAAATCGTAACAAATGCATATTTCTTTTTTCTAGTTCAGGGCCAGCGGTGGGCACTTGTGTACCCAGGAGCCAGGGAGTCTGGACAAATGTGTGATACAATGGCGTCTGTCCACAGGTCACTAAAAGTACAGCCCCCACCAATCCATAGGACTACTTCGGGAATAATAAATTGGCCCAGGGGTGCAAATAGTGAGCAGTGGGTGCTCTGGGGACCTCCTTTCCCTGGCTTGGGTAGGCAGAATCAAAGCTGTTCGCAGAAAGCATCATTCGCGTCTCCAGAATGTAGGGGTGGAGAGACAGCTGCAGCTGCTCTTCCGAAGGAAATCAGAGTAGAGCCTGCGCCGAGCTTCCTGGAGTTTGGGGTCTGAAATGCGTCTTTCGGGTCCGTCGCTAGCTGAGAGGGGGGAAAGAGGTGTGGGGAACGGCGCTCCATCGCTTAGGACGAGACGGGGAAGACAGGTGAGAAAGTGGTCTCTGAGTTCAGCATCAGCCCAGCAGTAGTGGAGGAAAAAGGGTCCAGCCTCAGCAGCCCTTCCTCCCACCCCCTACTTCCTCAGCACCGGTGAGCCGTACCTGTGCGCGGGCAGCAGTCTCCGCGACGCCGCAGGGTTAGGGAACCTGCAGCCTCCGCCCTAGGTGCCCCCTCCCCGCTCCGCCCCTCCTTGCCCCGCCCCGGGCTCGGGGCTCAGCTGGGAGCCCGCGGAGAGGCGGATGCCCTGGTCTCCGTCGGCCAGCAGGATGTCCAAGGTTCCGGAGCTAGAAGACGCTTTCCTGCAGGTTCAACCTTCGTCCCAAGTTTCCCCCGAAGTCCAGGAGGAGTGTTGTGTGCAGCTCCTGGGCAAGGGATTGCTGGTCTACCCCGAGGAGAGGGCGTACCTGGTGCCTGAAACTCAACCTGGGGGCGCGCTGGGCAACCGGGAGAAAGGTGATAATCCCGAGCTGCGGGTGGGAGTTAAATCCGGTGAGTGCTCTCCCCGCTCTGAGGATGTAATTTGTTGGGTAAAAGCTATAAGAAGGGCATCTAGTAAAAATAATAAGTACACTTCAAACACAGATGTGGAATGCTCTGTTCAGATCTTGGTGGTACCCCCCAAAAATGTTTGTCACCTACTAATTTTTTACGGGATTTTTTTTTATACCTCTTCCCCCCAAGCCTCTCCTCCTTCCGTCATCCCCCTTTATATATGTGTACCCCATTTATACCCAAGGGGTACATTTAGAGGTTACTTTATTGGTTTTATTTCCTGATTTTCTTTATCCTCTTTTCATCTTGCATTCAGAAATGCATTTAAGCAATGGCAGCTTTTCCTCTGAAGAAGAAGATGCAGACAATCAAGACAGTAAAACCAAAACAGCTGATTCGCACCTTTCTCAGAAGAAAACCATCACACAGATCATGAAGGATAAAAAGAAACAGACTCAGCTCACGTTGCAGTGGTAAGACTCGCCCACTCGGCTTGGCTTTTCTTAAACACCTGTTGAGTTAAAAAAGTTAGTGTCTTCAAAACTGCATTTTTTCCAATTTGTTTCTCCGTCAAACTTTTGTGGCGAAGTTTAAAAGATCTGTTAGATCCAGTTTGTCTTCCCTCTGAGTGTCTGTGATAGAAGTATGTTTTGGAACTGATGGAAAATTGTCTGCAATACAGTAAAAAACACAATGCTTTTTCATTATTGATTAAAATTATATATTTTTCAAATGTAAGCAAAATGTTTTTAATGAAGTTGCTTAATGTGCAATCAATTCTTTTTTTAAATATTTGTTATTTGGTAGTTTTTGTGTTTATTCCTAAAAACACCTTAAAATGAGGAAGAATCTTAATGTTTTGCCTTTACCCATAAGTGGGCTTATTAAAAATAATATATTAGTCAAAAGATGAACTGTATTTGACCTAGAAAACGTAGAGAAACCAGTTAAGATATCACTATTAACTTAAATAAATGTTCAACTATTTTTATAGCACCTGCCATATGTGATTTATTATAGTGAAAAATCACAAATTTGAAAATCTTTTAAAAACAAGAGATTATCTGCAACTTTTCTATATATAGGCAATATGTAATATTTCTCTGAAAAGAAATGAAAGCTAAAGTAAAAGACAAAACATTAAACTTCCTAAATAGTGTAAAGAAATCAGAGTATAAAATTCCTTGCAAATTCTGAATTATAAAGAAATGAAAAGGTTTTCATTTATAGATTAGTAAGTAATCTGTGCAATATAAATGTAAAATATGATCTGAACCTTAGAAAAACACAATAAAAATAGTTCAAAAAGACTAGTAAATTTGATGTTTAATCACTGAATTATAACTTGCATATACTAAATTTTTGTTTTTATGTACTTGAACTCTTTCAAATATTTGGAAAAGAAACCAGATTTGAGTCTTAAGTTGTTGTTGAGCTAATTAAAGTTGGTGTCATGCTTACTGAATAAGAGTATACTAGAACAGGAAATAATTTAGCCAAGTATATGAAATATTTAGAAAACAACTATTTTCATTATGGTACTTGAGACAAAAGAGCTTTGATTTCAAACATATTATGGAGTTCCTTTGAATGATGCCTTCCATTTTCTTCAGTTAAAATTTAGTGAGATGGAAATAAATTGGAGTTTTGTTTTATTAATATGCAAGCATCACCATTAAAATTTTAAAAATGTCGTAATCAGTACTTATATCTAGGATTACCAGTATATTCAAGACAAAAATAATGCCTACAAGAGCATTAAAATAGCCAAATGACAATTGAGCATTCTATGCATGTCATTGCAGTATAATCTTTAAAAAACTAAATGTTTCTTATAAGTGATTTTAATATTTTGAAACTATGAAGAGTTATCATTTTTATTTGAGTTTTCCATATTCTCTTTTTTAAAATGACTTACATTTTTTAAAATCTGATTTTATGTCTGATAAATTTTCCTAAAGGTTATGGTGATTTGGGAGCATGTTAGAAATGAGAACTGAAAATCAAAGTAAAAAATATGGCTGAATAACTCCAGTTTTCATTGTCAACTAGGTGTTTGCTTTTAGTTATGCAATAATTAGTAGATTTTGGTCTTTTTTTTTCTTCAGAGGAAAAAGTGTGCTTTACCTTTTACCTACTTAGGAAGCACCTCCCTTTAGCTTTTATTTCATGCACTTTTTTGGGGATATACTGAATCGAAGATCATGAAGGTTTTCACCCAATTTGAATGCCCACTCCATATTTAACTGTATAATTATTATAACTATATTATAGTAATATAATTTTACTTATGTAAAGTGAGTATAAGTAAATTTCAGCCAAACTTAATTGTTAGGAAAATGGAAATAACATCTATATGTTTTGATTTCTAGATTGCTGTTCAGATAGCTGTAATACTAAAATATATATTATTGCATATATATGTTTCATTTAATTGTAGTACAGCTTCCAAACTAAATAGAATTATCTCGAAATATTGTCAAATATTATTTAATGACATTTATAAGATACGGTTGGACTTACGGCATAGATAGAGTGAACTAGAGAGAACTACATTTAATTTGGAGTATATAAACATTTGTGGTAATTATAGTAATGACCACAGCAAAGTGTTGTAGGGTATCCTTTCAGTGTGTCATTTAAGACTCAAAATGAAGTGTGCTTTGCATACGTATTTTGAAAATAAATGCATTACCAGATTGTCATAACTATCAAGAGCTCAGAACTATCATAGTTTGTGAAGGAAAATGAAAGATTATAAGCATTTTCCAATTTAAAACTTGGCAACCTTTTAGTGTTGAGAATGTTTCTTTAAAAAACCATAATCTTTAATTTCACTATTCATATTTATATCACAGAACAGACCATGATAAACAGTGAATATTTCCATAGAAGTCAGCCCTCATATTTGGGGGGTGGACCAGGCAAGAGTGATTTTTATATTAGCTATGATACTTTAACTGTACCCACAGATATTCACTGGGGTTCCTTCTCTTCTAACATTAACCCACATGTTCCAATTTTTAATAATGTGCAGAATAAAGGAATTGAACTCGTATATAATCAGCTTTGAAAATGAGTATTAAATTCGTATAAAGAAAAAGGAAAGGAGAAATAAAATATTTTACTTTTTTTTTTTTATAACGTAGGCTTGAAGAGAATTACATTGTATGTGAAGGGGTTTGCTTACCAAGGTGCATCCTTTATGCACACTACTTAGATTTCTGCAGGAAAGAAAAATTGGAGCCAGCTTGCGCAGCCACCTTTGGAAAGGTAAATCTCATACAGGTTACACTACTTATAACTAACAATAGGTATAAACAATTTAATCTGACCATGTATTCTTACAGAATATTTAAAAATTTGTTTTGCCTTGATTTTGACTGTTAGAATTCTGCCCATCAGGAGATATAATGTGACCGAATAGGAAGCTCCATTTGAGCCTTGTATTTCCTTCAAAGAGGAATAAATTGAAGAGTATGTTTTGTCCTGTGTTATAAAGAAAAACTAAATGGTGGTTACAAGTATCTTGATGATGCTGTTAGTGATTATGCTTATTATTGAGCTAGCCCAAGTATAGGAGTTTTTAATAGGTTTTTATTCCATTGCATAAATAGTTCTCTGGATTCTCCATTTCATGCTGAGAATGTGTACATCCCCAAACCTAAGGAATTTTTGTGGGGTTTGGTTAAATTTCTCTGATTTAAAAACATTCCTTGTTATCCAATATATATGATTAGAATAGAAACCTACAGAACTGAAGTTGTTAGACTTAAATATTTTGCTGTCATTGTGAGAATAAAGAACTAGTATCAATCTCTTGGAGAAGTCTTTTTTTTTTAGATTCTTGTCATGCGCAATTCTAAAAACCCAGGATAACTCAGAAAAACTGTGGGAAACTTAGGTCTCAAATACTGCATCTCATAACTGATAAACTGAAATCTAAATTCTAACCTGTAGAGGGACTCATCATCCAGAAAATCATGAATACGTGGTCCAACTTTACAGATTTTTAAAATAATTAACTTATCTTGAAAACCTATTTGTTTATAGGTGACAGTGTGATATGGTGCATGGTGATTCATGCTTTAGGTTCTTGCCTATATTATGACTAATTTGTTGTGAGACTTTCTGAAGGGCAATTAACCTCAAATCTCAGTTCATTCATTCTATAAAATAAGGAGGTTGGATAAGATAACTTCTAAGGTCCTTCTATCATTACTGTTCTCAGAATCTACCTTATGACGGAAATCCTTAACTGTTAGGGAGTCATGAAACACTTTGAGAATCTGATTGATTTTTAAGAAAATGAAACTATCAAAACAATTCCTGAGAAATCAACACAAAAACTTTTCCCGTGGAGTCCTTTGGGATTGTGAATGGATATCTTATGGTACCAGTTAAAATTCCTGTTTTATGTAGAAGACATTTTTTTATCCTTTAATCATATGCTAATTTTAGCTAATCAGAGAAAGGGGCATAGGAAATAAAACACTTTTTTTTTTTTAAATAACTGTTGTTGAGATCCAGTAATGCAAATGGAGATACATGTATCCCAGATTAGAGTGTTACAGATATTTAATCTTGGGTAAATCTCTGGGTTATTGCTTTGGTAGTAACATCAAGCAAAAAAGTTGTTAGTATGATCTTCTTTGGAAATTGAGAAAAGTGTAGAACAACCACCTCATCAAAAATGTTCGTTCCTTCTCTCCTGATGATGTATTTTATTGCTTAGAATATGTAGAAGATATTTTTTTTCCGGACTAAGTATTTACTCAGTGATCAACATTTTACATCCTAGAATTAACTAATTACAAGTGACTTGCAATAAACCCACACTCTTTTTTAAAACTAAAGAAATTCTTCTTTCTTTCTTTCTTTTCTTTTCTTTTTTTTAGACAATTCGCCAGAAGTTTCCTCTCTTAACAACAAGGCGGCTTGGAACGAGAGGTCATTCAAAGTAAGACACACTGAGAACACCTATTAGATCTGTACATGTGATACCTTGTACCTGAGGATTGACATGGGTTCAAATCAGTATTTATTAGTGGATAGAACCAGGTGTTCTCTTTTTGATGAAGCAAACTTTGGATTTTGGAATTATGTTTTAAAAACAAAGTTTACACAGAAAAATCATAAAATACTATTTTTCTGATGCAATAATTTTGAATGAATCATTTTCATTATCCTAAAGTCACTACTAAAGTCCCAGTGTCAGGAGAGGAAATATGACAGAAAAGAATCTAAAATATCCCCAAAGAGCAAAATCAAAGCCTGGGGGTGAAGTGAGGGTCAGGTTCTCCCTCTGACTTCTTTTCTTCACCAGATAACAATTTGTTAATATCCCCTTCTTTTCCCATCAAGACAAATAAAATACATAAATAACTTCTTTGGTTACTTCCTAATATAAACATCCAATAAGTTGACACTGACTCTTGTAACTTCAGTTTTTACTTTTCGCTTATGACAATGGCTGGAGAAACCCAGGTATAGGTCATCTGTTATTTCCTCTGTTTTTTTCTGCTTTCCATATATCGTTTATGCAGAAATCACCTCAAACCTGCATTCCTTTCCAGATTGCTCTGTTACTTTGCTTCTCTTTGCTCTCTCTTGAAAGAGTAGCTACCTGCTTACTTGCCTTACCAGTGATAATGTCTTCATCCTCGTCCTTTCTTTACCTGAGCAAAAACTCATTTTTACTGTCATTTACTTGTCTTGGCACCTATCTAGCATTTGAAACTAATGATAATATCCTCTTAAAATAAATATAGACAACTTTGCCTTCTATATCATAGCCCCACGTACACCCTTTACCCTCTTCTGACATTGCTTTCTTATTTGTCCAGTCTCTTTCCTTACATGTAGGGAATGTAACAATGAAACATAACACAATGCATATTTAATTCATTTTTAGTAGCCACATTAAGAGTAAAAAAGAAAAATATTTATTCAGTATTTTTAATTTAATCCTATATATCCAAAAGTTATTTTACCATGTAATCAAATTACAAATTATGAGATATTTTATATCCCTTACTGACATCTTTGAAATCCAATGTGTATTTTACACTGGTGGCACATCTCAACACAGACAAGTCATAGTGGCTTTTGATACCCTATTAGCTAGTTCAGTTTTAGGCACTTAACAAAAATCAGCTCTTATTTTTTTAATTTCTTGAGTCCATCTCCCTCCATTCTCACTTTTATTCCTTGGCCTTCACTCTGAGTTTCAATACAATTTTACCAGTTGACCCTCTAAAGTTTATATTACTATTGATGAATAATACCTTCAAATGCAGTCATATCTCCTCATACTCAGCAATTTTCACCAGCTTATGAATTCTACTGGTAGAGACCAACTTTTCTTGCTACAACTTTCAGGACCCATTAAGAGGTAAAACCAACCCGTTTTCTTATCCTATCATCAACTTCTCACTCTTCAACATGTAGCCCATGAGCTCACCCGTTCTCACCTAGTACCCGTTATATCATCTTCAGCCATCATTCTTTTGCTATGCTGTCTTCCTCTATGGAAAATGTTCTTTCCTTTACATGTATGTTGAATTTATCCATTTAAAAGAATGTCTTATAAACATCTTATGACTCTGTCTTTGGTTTCTTGATTTGCTCGAGGCTCTTCCTTATACCCTCATAGCAGTTTGTGGGTACCCTCATGTAAAATTAACTTTTCTTTTCCCCTCATGCAAAATTAACTTTTCTTTTCCCCTCATGCAAAATTAACTTTTCTTTTCCCCTCAACAGATATACTTTGAGGATAAAAATTTGCTCTCATTCATTTTCACATCCTTTCTATCGCAAGCAACATAGTAGACTGTCAATTAGTATTGATTTAAGTGACTCCTAGTAATGTTAGCAGTACTGTGATTTGAGGAGAAATAAAATGTAGATTAAAAAAGGCAAAGTTGTTCCTCCCCTTATCAAGGCAGTCTTTTTTCAAAGTTAACTCAGTTTAACATTCTGCTGAATTTGTCTCCTAGTGAATTGTATAGTTGAAAGAAAGATTAGATAATGTTTGAAGTAAATAGATAGTAGAAAAACAGGCAAGGTAATGTAGAGAAATCCTCTTCACAGAATCTATAAGTGGGCAGGCAGGCAGGCTGCAGGGAAAGTCAATTAATCCTGGAAGGAGCCTTTAGGATTAGGGTTGAATCATTAACCCTGCCCATTGTGACACAGTGAGGCTCCAGTGTTTAGGGTTATGTAACGATATGTGGTCACTTGGGGGAATTTGACATCTAAGAATAGATGTGCCCAAGAGAAGTGTATTAACAACTAGAATTTTTTCCATATCCTCCTGATAGGCCATTTCCTTTTTATAACATACATATTATATTTGTGGTATTTTGATATTATGGGGAAAACGAAAATTCTCCATATTAAGCTAAATCTATTGAAAGATATTGGAAGATGTAGAATTTGTGTATTTTATAATGACAATGTGTTGATATAATTGTTCTTAGGTAGTTTTCCTGTCTCTGTTTATTTCCAAGAAATAGTTTTAGATTGTTATTTTGAAAAATATATAAAAACAAAACCCTTTGGATATAATTTCAAAAGTATGTCAAGTGCTGGTACTACCTGGTGATTAGGAGCTGACAACAGAAGAATTGTCTAGCTTTTCATCAGTGTAAAGTGAGCTTATTATGATAGCTATCACATAATTTTTTGTATTAAATGAGATAATGTATAGTAATGAATAGCAAATGAATATGCTCAATCTCACTGTTCTTAATAATTGAAATTAATCATTCAGTACCTCTACAAATCAGCACTGCAATTAAAAGTTCTTTATTGAGCAGTACATACACACATACATGTTTTAGTCTTTTTTTAAAGATTTATTTATTTGTGCATATAAGAACTGGGGCACAGGCCACAGGTATAGAGCTTGGGGAAGAGGATTCATCAGAGACAGAGTGGGGAGCAAAACAGGCAGATGTACAGAAATACACTGCTGAGGGGAGCAGCAGGTGAGACAGTCACTCTCTGTTGCATCATGTGGGTCAGCTCCCCGGCAGGATCTAACTCGGTGCTGCAGTGGCTGTGAATAGCTTCATAGTGCTGTGTTTAACAACTTGTGCCACCAGGAAGGCCCCACGCTGTGGTCATAACAATGACAAAACAATATTGAGTTTTATAAATTGGTGTTTATGGTTGAAGAAAATATAGTTCAAAGGTTATTAACTTGCCCAAAGCCACACAGATTCTATAAAATAACAGTGTTTATTCACTTTCATCTGGCTCAAAAGGTTATGCTTTGGCAAATAGTACATACTGCTTTCCAGTATCAGTGATTATCAACAAACAATTATCTAGTTGCATTTTAGATTTTTTGAGGTACAATCTTATTCTTTTTTTCTAATGTAACTTTTAAAAAATTTACCTTTGAGCGCCTCAATAGCTAAAATTTTCTCATCTTACTCTTGAGCCATTTAAAGTTATACTTTGTCTTTATTTAGAGAGAATTATGTTTTATATAAATTACATGAAAACAGATTTGTAAGATACACATTTTTTTCTTCTATTAATTTTTACCTTAAACATTTCTGTTAGTATATTATTGTTATAATCATAATTTTTGACTGTTAACTATTTTAAAAACTTACATCTTGTCAAAAAAAATTTTTTTAGAAATATGAACAATTGATAAAATACAGAGATAAATGAAGAATTAAACATGTTTTGGATAAACAGGAATTTATAATTTCTCCCTATTTACTAGTAATTTTGCAAAACTTATTTTATTGTCATGGTGTTTAGAGTAGTATCCTGAACACACTCACTAAATGTGTAATGAATATTTCAAAGCTCTAATGAAAGTGCTATTAATTTAACTTCTGTGGATTGTAAATTTAAAAAATATTATTTAATGGCTCTGATGATAATCACTAAAAAAATAAGTTCTTGATTTTTGCCAAATTTTCATATATAGCTAGAGTATGTTCATTTGGGCAAATTTATATTAAATTATGATTAACTCAGTAGATTCTTTTGTAGTTTGGGCACAAGGTAAAACCACTATTTATAAAACTGTAGATTCCTTTGGGGTTCATGAAATTTTGCTGCCCATATATGAAATCCAAAGATTTGGGCAACACTGATTTTTGTGACAAAGACATTTTAGTACAGTCTTAAATTGAGTGAATTCTGTGTCTATTTTAAAGTTCTGCATCTTGAAGTTCTGATAACTGGCTAGTGAAATGGTCAGTTTGGACAACTCACCTTTGTGCAGGTTCCCCTTCTTTCCCTCATCAAAAAGTGAAAATGGAAAAAGTTTAAATAAAAGGAGCCAAATATTTATTCAGTCAAAAGGAAGAGATAAAACACTTGAACAAACAGATACATTTGGAAACAATAAAAAAATCCAGATGGACAGAATGATTACAAGGCTAGATACCATCCACTGTCAAAATGAGAAAAAATGTATAATTGGAAAATTTGTTTCCAATGCCAAGTCCGATATTCCATTGCTGTTGACAGAAAAATGTCTCTCGAGAATACTTGGGGTCAGAATGCTGCCAACTGCTTTATCTAACCTAAATGTGTTTTGGGGCCAAAGCTAGTTAATTTGCAGGTAGCATTTGCTTTCCATACCTTCACCCCTTCTGTAACTCTGACCATCACCTTTCTGTCAAGAATATCAAAAACCCAATGACAGACTCTGAATAGTCTCAACATGGAAATGAAAACTTTATTTTACCTTCTGTGTTTATTTTTCTCTTTGATTTAATATCAATACTGAAAATATATACCTGATTCTTTTCTGTGTGCAATATTTTAAAATTTGTATTCTAATAAACATAGATGAAACAAAATTTTATAGGTACAAAATATTGATAGAATGTTTTGTATATTTTATATCATGACTGTGTTATATCAATCCATTCATATTTATATTGACATACAAAGCATGGTGCTAAAGAATTTTTGAGAAACAAA